AAAAAAATTAATTTTTTTAAATATAGTAAATCAATGTAGATTATAAGAATGTATCTTTAAGATTATTAATAAAAAATTAATTAAAATATATAAAAATTAATTTAAAAACACTTTAATAATAAATTTAAGAATGAAGAATCTCACTATAGGTAGCTAGCTAGTTGTCGAAGGACTCGAGATATGCACTTTGTTTCTTCGTCATTTTTCTTGAATTATAAATAAGATATGCATTAATAGTTGACCACATGTGCACCATCATTCCCAGCTTGTCAAAAACAAAAATTGAAAGCTAGGCTGGCCTTGGATTAATTCGGATGCATCATGCGCGCCGCAGCCAATGCTTGAACTACCTTGCACGAATTAGTCATGTAGTCTTTCTTGTCGAAAGCTGCAATTCAAGATGAGAAGATCTACAAATATCTGAAGGTGGATTTTAAGATAGATACTTTAATCCTTAAGTTCATAACAATTTACTTAATAATTGTGATAAACAAAGAAAAGTTTATAAGTAGAAAAGTATCTTGACTAAAGATGAAATTCTCATGATTTGGCTAAATTAATTTTTACTATATAACATGATACTCTGAGCGATCTTTGTAGAGACATGAATTGAATATAGCGGGCTTACATAAGCCCTCCGTGCAACTAGGAGTAAGAGCCAAGATGAGGACCCTAATCTCGTGAGCTACATTTCAAACTGACATGAAATAACTTGGGCTGTTCGGACATATCCCGTCCAACAATTTTACCTAATTTAGCTGTCTTAATATGTTTGACTTTTAGGTATGTAGTTTGACTTAATACTTTTGCATGGTAAATAATCTTTATCTTCTTAATGAATATTCTGAAAAGTTGATACTTTAAAACATTGCAGAACAAAAACTTGGAGAACCCTGAAGAAGAAGAAGATGTCTCCTCCACATCCGTTGATTTCTTCTCTGATTTATTTTCCTTGTGGACTAGAATGTGAAACGAATGGAGAAGTCATGGGACTCAATCCAAAAGAACTAGCCCTGAGCTTAAAGCCCATCTGAACTTAAAGCACTAGAACACTAGATATCAATAACCCACT